TCCCCCAAGCGCTGTGGAAATTTGCCCCCCCCCCCCTCTTTCTTTTTTTAAAAAAAAAAAATGGAAAAAAAAAAAAAAAAAAAAATCTAACTTGTTTTTGCCAGTTTGCCTGTATGATGAAGCAAGATGAGTTTCTTATCATGGCACTTTCGGATTCAGTTTGGCATTTTCAATGTCACAAAGCTGGTTCTGTCACCATGGCAACATATGTGGGGAAACCTAATCTATAGGGTAAATTGCCTCCCACTGAAATGAGTTCCTGGTCAATATGTACGATTTACTGCAGTAACTTTTTAGATGATTTAATGTCAAGAGTAGATTAGACAGATACCTTATTGACCTTAAGTTATTTTTCACAGTACTTTATAATATAAATAAATCCAGAGCAGATAACACGTACAAAGTTCTAATCAACATGTAAACTATTAAAAAAACACTTCTGCTTTAATAATTTGGCCGGATATTAATTTGCAATTAGCCTAGCTTTCTCTCCATTTTATTTGACATCATCGTCAGTGACTCTAGGTTGAGAGACGAAGTCAATAACCAGCTTTATAGCACCAGGAGGCAAGGTGTTTAATGCTAGGCTTAGTTAAATTGAATCCTTCAAGGAAAAAGCTTGTCGATTAAATGCCCTCAATAATACAAGGTCCAGCAGAAAACAGCACTGATGGCTTATTTAGACAGGTATTTGCGGTGAAAACTTACTTTGATACAGTCTGCTCTTTATCTGTGTGGAAATAAGAGCAAAAAAAAAAAAAAAAAAAGACAATGAATAACAGAGTGACTTTATGCTTAATTATTCATATAGTGTGAACATATTATGACAAAGATGTAAATAAAGATGAAAAGATTGTGACCACATTTCGAGTTGCGACAAATGTCAAATGCCTGTTTGGTCATTTATTTTCTCTCCTGGAAGCAATAGCAAACACTTTGTCAAAGCTAGCTAAAGACTACGGAGTTGCACCACTCCATCACACATAGTTTGTGAGACACAGATGTAGCTATTAATATTTCTTTTTGGTTTGGATGCAAAACGCCTGAAGGTCACACTGCAGAAGATAAATATTAGCAGCTACTAATGGTCGACATTTTCCTGTTTGCTGATAGACTGAGTTCGAAATACAACTTTTATGGGCCAATAATTATGCGGCTCACTGGTAAACATCCAAGGCAGTTCAAGTTCACTTACAGATCTGTAACATCTACTGGTGAACAACAGGAATGTCACCAGTCCCACCAGGCCAGTGAAGATTACCGGTTCCCATGGTACACCGTACAGGTCTGGCCCTGGCCTCATGTCGTCAGGCAGTAGTGACACGGCCTAAAAGAAGAGGGAGGTGGGAAAAAAAAGGGTTGATTTTTGAGTCTGCTTCTTTTCATTTAAATGATAGTTCAGACATTTGCTGAATAATATCATTTAAGTGATATTGAAATAATTGCACCTATTCATAGGGTAGCTCCGTTACATTTGACCAGTTTTTTTTGTTGTTTTTTTTCCAGGGATTGCAGGTTTGGACAATTACTCCCTCTGGCTTTGGATGGTGCGCACCGGCAATAATTTTTGATTCTACTTTATCACCTTCAGAAAATTGTATGATGCCAACTCTGGCAACATGGCATTGTTTTTAACGATTAGCATCCCAGAGGCTCAAATAAGACCTCTGGGATGTGATCCCAAATCCCAAAGGAATTGAAAAGGAGGCTAGATGGACATAGAGCAAACAGAGGAGGAGGAAGTTCAGACTTTCTTTTCCACCAATCATAATGGGCAAGGATCATATCTCAAACTCCATCGTCTCTCTCTCTCTGCCTGGCTTTCCAGCCTTATGCCCAGACAGAGATTTAAAAAGGAGTTTAAAGAGGAGTGGCAAAAGCATGCGATGTGGATCAGCAGAACTTACCAAAAAACTGATTTTGTGATCCAGGACATGTTACTATAGAATACCATCTTTACAGCATGCCATAGCAGTCATGAGACAGTCATACTGAAACACTCTTCAGTCAGAGTCTTCTTCAAATTTGTTGCAAGTCTGACTGCTACTGGAGATTCATTCCTCTTCACAGTATCACCGACAACAACGATTCTGAAGACACTTGGATGATGAGGTATGAAAAGATTTAATTTTCCCTTGGGGTAAATAAAATATTTTAAATTAACTGAATTGAGTTTGAGCAGGTTATGCCGTCTCAGGAGCAGAGCTAAATGTAAAGTCATTTATCCTACAGTTAAAACTTGACCCAATCTAGGTCACCAACAGGAAAATCACCAGCCCAACCACGACACCAAATCTACAACAGAATGGCTAAAACAAAAATGATTAGTCTAGAGACCACAATCTGATTTGAAATGCTTCTGTGGGGCCTGATGAGAGCTGTGCATTAAGGATTGTCTGCTCTCCCTAATGAATGCTGTAAAAAGGAAGGGGGCTAAAATCCCCCCATGGCGGTGTAAGAAGAAATGTTATACCGAGTTTGTGTTGAAAAAGGCGGTTCTGTCGAATCCTGAAGTGCACTTTATAATTCACGCATAATGTTACATTTTTGGGTTCATCCTTTCTAATAAACTATCAGTATGAAATTAGATCAATTTAATTACAAATTCACAACCAAAACAATATAGCTGCATTTTAATTGCAGTTTTAAAAAGAGGAACTCTGGGTTACTGTGACAATTTCACTGGATTCCTAAGCAGTTGCAGTCTTATTACCAAACAGCTGTTTCAGTGGGATCATCACAGTTCCGTTTGCCATCACAAAAAAATGCGTCCAACAGAAAAATATAACATAACGTTCATCGTTTCTCAAAAATTAAAACAACCCACAAGACAGTAAAAACTTAACACAGGAGAAATGCTGACTGACTGAACCAGCTAACTATGCTAATGCCTATATAATGGTTTCAAACTGACAGATAAACCATGACAGTCAAAAGCAATGTCGGAACCCACACCTGAGAGCAAAGGTAGTACTACATGTAATAAAGTCCGTTATATTACTTCGACTCTGGCGGCTAAATGGGAAATGCTAACCAGACCTGCCACATATTAACGTACATCTTTCACTTTCTCCACGGCGATGTTGTAGAAGGTTTCTGCTGTCGCCTGGAAGTCAGCCGCTTTGTTGGCCAATTGCTCATCTTCCGGACGTTCCGTCATGTCCAAGTTATTTCATTTGGCTTAATAACTAATAGGAATTTCATTAATACTGATTAGAGAAAGACAGGCTTCCTACAGCCGGGTTAACGGCTATTTCACATCCTATTCACAACACCGATCCTCTAAGAAAGTACCATATTTTTCAGCCATTAGAGACGGAACCCGGAATATTAAATCTTCTCCACCAACTAGAAGTAATGACTTGAGAACAAAATGATAAGGAAATATTTAAGTCGATATATATATAGAAGATATATATGGACAAAATATTCACATTCACTTTTTTTAGGCATGCTATGTTTAAAAGGAGCTTACATGCACCCCTACATTTGTAAATGGTTCGTTCCAAACGTCACCAATTGTAAGATGCCACACAGGCACATCGGAGTCCTTTCAATGTGACACCGTAGGAAACAGGTGTCATCCATAGATTGTTTAAATATCTTTATATTCTATATTTTACATATATTATACAATTCATTATGTCACCACAAGACAAATTTACTTTCCTGAAAATTAAGTAACAAAGGGGATATGTATATCTTAAGAATTATGCAATATACATATTGTGGCAAGCTTTGAATGTAAACAACTGGGTAACGACAGCCCTGTTTAAAGTCAGTCTAACGGCTTGAGCTCTAAATTTCATACTCACCGACCTGGCCTCACTTTTATCCATCTGAATATAAAGAATCTCTTGCCCTGTGACACCATGTAGACCTGAAATCCAAGTTGGCCTCTGGTGTGTATCAAGCCCAAACGTAAAAAGCTATGTCGGCGTCAAGCCAGTCTGACAACTGAGACGAAAGCAAACTTGAATGCCAAAGGGAGAGAGAGATCAACATGCCACAGGTTCAGAGTCTTAAAGAACCAGACGCTGCAAAGTCTACTCATTGCCTGTAGGAACCAAAAGCCGCTCAATGCCTTAAATCAACATGAAGAAAGAAAATGCTTAAAATAGTAAAATACTATACTCTCATCTCAAACATGATCATTTTCACCTTGCATTTATGAATATTTTTAGATTTTTCTGTGTACTCATAAAAAATGATTGTGCCTGTTTAAGGTTGGTATTCAAAAAAGTACCACCTTGCATTTGTTTGAAATTTACTGAAAATGCAATCTCAGTAGGGGGTACACAATGCAGCACTGCTTACTGTAGGCTATGGGATTATCATGATAACAGTTTCTCATCTTAAGATAACAACAACAGGCTCCAACTACAGATGTACTGTGGATCTCTGGAGTTTTGGCTGCTTCTGTGAATTATTCTCTCCTGTCAGTTTTTGATGGAAAATCTACAACATAGGTAGGTTTGCAGATTTTTGTTCTCTTCCCATTTTAGATCTGTGATTGAACTGTGCTCCATTATATTTTTACGGTTTGTTTCTAACCTAAACCACCTTTAACTTTCTCCACAACTTTATCTATGACCTGTCTGGTGTGCTTCTTAGTCTTCAGTAAGCTATTAGTTTTGCCATATTCTCTGGCAAACTCCTGACATCTCTACTGAGCAGCTGCTTTTATGATTAGGTTTTATTACTCAAAGCTGTAAATATTTACTAATCAAGTGACTTCTTCAGGCGATTGGTTGCACTGGTTTTTATTTAGTGGTGTCACAGCAATTGGGAGTGAAAATAACAGGTTTTGATTTGAAAAATATACTTTACCTACTATTTAGTGTGATCTCACAGAAAAAAAACGATATAAAACTCATGGAAGTTTATGGTTGTAGTATGACAAATGGCAAATCTTTACCAAAGTCATAAGTTGTTTAAAAAAAACGGAAAAAAAACAACAGCACGTATATCTGAAGATCTGCTCATCTTTGTAAAAAGTTGCCTCTAATTAAATAACCAATAACTCTAGAGTATCTTATGCTGTTTTTTGTTTTAAAGTGGTTTTATACAAAAAACATATACACTTAAAGAACTATTTCAACATAAATGGCTTATTTTATGTTAAGCAAACAACCCCTACTTCCTTTCTGTGGGCCACGAATGCAGTCTTGGGACTTACCTGCACATGAATCCAAACAAGGATTTCCATCACTGCTTGAGCACAACTTATGGAGTCCTCAGCTACCCGTTGAATCAACTCCAGAGTTTGCTTGATTACCCCTAGAGTTAGAGTCACACTTTTATTTTTTATTTTTTAATGTAATTAATGGGCTATTCAAAGAATATCGTACAATAATGTATTATAGAGTCTGTATGTTTTGCATAAATGAGAGGAAGCAGGTCAACCTCACCTTAATGAAACATCTCTCCAAAATTTGGTTTTCTCGTACCTTTCTGTTTTGATCCTGGCTGAGTGAGATGGAGGGATTCAATATTATCTTTACTTCCTTCAACTCTTCTTTCCTCCTCCTCATAATTCCAGTCTTTATATTTGCCATCATCATCATCTTTATGTAAAGAAGCAGATTGGGAGTTATCTTCCTTTTCTTGGCTTGAACTGTGCTCAACTGCATGTGACAAAGAAACACACAAATACACAGCGATGAGGACAGACCTGAACCAACAGGTTAAATAAAATCAAAAAATTAATAATATGAGCCATGATAGTTTATGCAAGTTAGACAAAAATACCTTGATGATTACTGACATCTGATATTCCTGTGCTGACAGTCTCCTTCACTGTTTTCAATAACGTTTCCAGCTTCTGCAGTGCAATAATTGCACTGGTCCTTTGTTTGTCCTCCTGCAGTGCATCGGTGATGCTCATGCTGGGAGCCACAAGAGTCTCCATGTTGTGTTGCAGAAGTCTTTCTATATCCAACAGTATTGACTGATCGTCCTCTGCAGTTGCGGCCTCTGAACTTGTCAAAACGTAATCTAAAAATTGCAGTTTGTATCGGCCGAAGAGGTCCTCTAAGATAACTGCCTCGTCCGCGTTCAAGTGGCGGAGGAGATTTTTGTAATGTTTGCTGAGGAGTTTTGTTTTGGATGGTTCTTTGGTGACCAAATGAGCGGTGCGGGGGAGCTTTTCAGCAGAAGGAGGATCGGCCTGCGGGTGCTCTGTGGGAAATGCTGCGTGTGTTACTTCAGCATGAAATGAATCTGTGGGGGACACTAGTTCTGGAGTGATGGAGGGGTGAGTCTGTGATGGCTCAGCTTCATTTGTGTTGACATTATGAACAGACTGGGTGGACTCGGACATCTCAGGGGTGGGTGTTTGGGAGAAAAATCCTAAAGTGTTTTTAATAAGACCAAAAGCTCCTCTACTTTCACTGTCTGCTCCCTGAGGTGGATCTGTGGACTCAGTTTGCTCAGCTGTCTGAACTTGACTTTCAGCAGAGTCATGCATTTCTTCTCTGTCTTTGTAAAGTTCATTTTCTGTTTTTGTAGCATAGGTTTTCCTGGTTTCTTCTTCAAAATCATTGTCTTGTCTGTCTTCCTTCCAGTCGTCATCATCATTTACCGTCGTTCTGGTCCGTTCTCCATCCTCAAACCCACCTACGTCAACATTATCATCCTCCACTTCCTTCGTAGGGTGCTCATTTTCTTCCTCAAGCTCTTCTTTGTTCTGTTTCTCCACTTCCTTCTCCTCCTGCTCCTCGTCCTTTTGGATTTCAGTCTGTGTGTTCGTTTCAGAGACCAAAGAAGCCAAGCTGGAATTATCCAGCATGTCAGTCTGCTTGTGTTCTAACTGTCCCTCCCAAACCTGGTTTTCAACTTCCTCGTTTGCATGTTTATTTTGCTCCTCAGATTCCTCTAACCTTTTCAGTGTGCCCTGCTCATCCCCAAGTGACACATTCCCTATTTGCTGGTTTTTTAGCTCCTCTACCTCCTGCTCATCTTTTTTTAACTCCATCTTCATTTCCCCAGAGTCATCTGCTATCTTATTTTCATTTTGCTTCTCCAATTCCTTTAACTGTTCCACTCTGATCTGGTGTCCATGCTCTAGTAACTCCTCTACCTGTTTGTCTTCCTCATTTAGCTTCTTTGCCTCCGTCTCCCTTTCTTCTGTTAACTCCATCTCCTCCTGACTTGAGCTCTCCTCAGAAACGTCTGACATCTCCTCCTCCTGCTCTGTGTCATTTGGCTCCACTGATTCATTTAACCTTTCCACCTGGATTTCCCCATGCTCTACTAACACTGTTGTCCATTTCTCTCCCTCTGTTAACTCCTCCATCTCTTTCTGCCTTTCTTCTGCTAACTCCATCCCCTCTTGATTTGAGCTCTCCAGAAAAACATCTACCTTCTCTTCTCTTTCATTTTCTTCCTCCAATTCTCTTAACTCTTCCACTCTGATCTGATGTCCAGGCTCTGGTAGCTCCTCTATGCTTTTCTCTCCCTCCTCTGCCTCCTCCATCTCTTTTTCCCTTTCTTCTGCTAACTCCATCCCCTCCTGACTTGAGTGCTCCCAAGAAAAGTCTGCCTTCTCCTCTTTTTCATTTTGCTCCTCAGATTCCTTTAACTCTTCCTCTCTGATCTGATGTCCATGCTCTGGTAACTCCTTTACCAGTTTCTCTAGCTCCTCTATCCCCTCCTGCCTTTCCTCTCTTAACTCCATGTCCTTCTCAGAAATATCTCCTATCTCTTCTTCCTTCTCTGTTTCCTGTTTATTTAAGCCCTCCAATTTCATTTTCTGTTCCTCTTGTTTTACTTCCTCGATCTGTTCTTGCACCTCTACCTCTTCCTGTTTATGAATTTCTACCTTTTCCTCTTCTTTTAACCCCTCTTCGGTTTCTCTTTCAGAAACTATTGTTGATTTCATTTGATTTCCATTGAAAACTTCGTTCTCAGAATCTGATGTCTCTTCCTCTGTTTCTTCATTCTGGTCTTTTACAGTTTCTTTGAATCGGTCAACATCACCGTCTCTTGCAATCTGTGGAGACTCTTTAGTCGTGTAAATGTTTGGTTTGGTTTCATTCAAACCCTCCTCTGAGACACTGTCATGCAGACTTTCAGTATTTCCAGAAAGTAACGGTCCATCATTGTTAGAGGTGACTTCCATAGTTTGTGTTTCTTGCTGCAGTCCTACCTCCCCCTGAAGAGAGGAAGAGCCAAGCTGACTCTGACCACTGCTTTCCTCCTGATCACCACTGACTTGAGTCTCCTCAAGCAATTCAGACTGAACTCCTAGTATTTCCTGTTGAGATGGTCCTGTCACCTCATTAAAATGCTCTTCTATATGATTATCCCTGTTAACTGGACTGTTTTCTGACATTAGAGTGGATCCTTCAATTGTATGAACTTGGTTTGTTACTTCCGCGCCTTCCTCCTCCAAACTTCCTGGAGCCTCGATTTGAACGTCATGGTTTTCACTTTCCTCCATGCTACCTTCAAGTTGCTCCATGGAGTTTGAATGTAATTCCTCTAAGCTGTGGTCAGGACCTGAACTGATTTCAGGTTGCTCAGTAAACCCATCATTTTGACTGATTTGTTCATCTCTCCTTTTATGTTCACCGATATTTTCATCGTCTACTTGGGAAGAGTTATGAATTGAATCATCTTTGTTGAAAATCCCTGCATCAATATCTAAATTATTTACATCCTCTGTGTTTGAATGCTCAATATTATCTTCTGCAGCATCACCACGTTCAGCACCGACCGGTAGTGTGTAAGGAACAGTTTCAGCCTTTATTTCTTCAGTAAATGAAGCTTCTGATTGGCTGATATCCACGTTTTCAAATCCAGATGGTTGTTCTAACATTTGATCCCTGTCTGTCTCCCTAATACCACTTTCTTTACTTCCATCAGCTCCAGTGTTACTACCCCCGAAGCCCCAAATGCTCCCAATTCCCATCTCCATCCAGGAACTAGATGGCTTCTCTTCCTGCACTTCCACACCTTCTCCTTCTGAATCCTGACCACTTGAGCCAAACCCCAGCCTGCTTGCCAACCCACTGCCCAGCCAACCCATTGTCCCCATGTCTTCCTTCTCCTCTTCCTGTAATTTGCTGCCTTCCAGGTCCAGAGACATCCTCCTACTCCTAAACGTCTCTGTGGGCTCTTTCTCATCACCTGTTTCTTCATTTTCTTTGTTATCTAAAGCGACAGTTTTTTTCTCCTCACCGAAGCCAAGCCACCCAGTCATCGTTGAGGTAAAGGTATCTTCCCTACCTTTCATGCTATCTTCATCTCTGTTAGGTTTGTCTTCTCCTCCAAAGCCCAGCCAGCCCGTCACAGAAGATGTGAGTGACGCTTCTGATTTAGTCTCCTCCTTCTCATCTTCCCTTGCTTCTTGTTCTGAATCCCCTGACTGCTCCTCTTTAGCAAAACCTAACCATCCTGTCACAGACGAACGCAGCCAGGAGGAGGAGGGAGACCCACCTTGTTGCTCTGGAATTGCTGAAGTCTTGAGTTCGTCTTCGAGAAGTTCAGCTGCATCGATGAGCTCTTTGTTTCCACCTTCATCTTCCCTTTCTTTTACCGTAGATTCAGTGGACGCCACAGTACCTTGAGCATTTGTGTCATGAGAGTGTGGGCTGATCTGGCTGGATTCGGGTTCATGGTCTTGAAAGTTAAGATCATCCTCATCAGTGTCCAGATGAGTCGTGTCAAGAGGATATCCAGACTCATCCATACAGAAGAAATCAGATTCCTGCCAAAAACAAGGATTAAAGTCTCAAGGTGAAGAAAATGTTACAGTTTTAGGCCAGCAGCTATCTCATAATCCTTCAGAGAGAGTATTTTTTTTTGTATGTATCCGATCAGTCACTGATATTACCTGGGTCTCTAGCACTTTCCTCATTGTTGCAAATACTTCCTCCTCTCGTACTGCATCCTTTGGGAAGTAGCCAAATTGTTTGTCAATCTGAAAGAAAGACAAGGTTGGTGCAATCATCTATTTTAAAATAATAAAAAACCCTAAATAAACTAATATTTTCATTTTAAAACAAGTTATATAGTGGGTGCAGAAAACATCTAACAGGGGTCTCCAAATCCAATGTACAAGAGGTACTGTCGTGCAACTTTCCAATGCGTCCCAGCTCCAACAAACCTGAGTCATATGATGGAATCACATCCTCAGCATGTTATGAAGTTCCCTGGAAATTATCCATTCATTTGATTTAGATGCATTACAGTTGCAGGACAGAAGCACTTGAGGACCTCTAATGCAGAAGAAGATTAAATATGGCGTAGTCAAAGTCTAGACTACAATCCAATTGGAGATCTGCAACAGTGCTTGGAAATAGTTGCTCATAGATGGTCTCCATCTATAATTATATTTATACTCATTTTTTGTAAACCATTTGTATCATTTTTTTTATCAGCTTCACCAATTATGCAGTATTTTGTGTTGCTCTATCAGATTAAATCCCAACAAAATATTTTGACGTTTGTGTTTGAAAGAAACTGTGAAACACTTTATAGAGTTTATGTACTTTTGGAAGTCACTGTCACTCTCCACCTTTAAATACTTACAACTACTTAATAAATGAAACCAAAGCGGGAGCCGGGAGACGTCCCACAGATACAAGCATCACAACTGCTCAGGACTCACAAACAAAGCTGCTCTGTATTATAATCAAGACTTATCTCAATAAGTAACAACCTAAGATAAGATGCTGGTCGTATTAGGTAAAAAAGTCTTTGTTATTTTCTGTTACGTTCACCATTATAACTACACAACTGCTGATTCAAAACATACACTGCCTGCCCAGAGGTCTTCTCGTTTCCCCGTCAGTTTGTGGTACACAAAAATTATGTCTCCTCGTCTGAAATTCAGGAATCTGCAATCCTTTCCTTCATGGCTCTTTACAGCCTGAACTCTGCTCATTGGACCTAAAAAAGCAAGCACAAAAGTTAAAGGCGACACATATAATCATAATCACTTTACCAGAAGTTTAGATGTAGAATTAATACTACAAGTATAGTTTGGCCTAGAACTTGTACCACCAAAGTGTTTGGACTTACTTTCACATTCTGGATCCCCACAGATCTTGTAGTCAGACAACAATCCCATATTTAAGTCTGGAAATAGCATAAAAAATATAATCCAAAGACAGACTTCCATATTTGTCAGATTTTAAAAGATTGTATCAAATGAAAATGTCCATTGTAGGGTGGAAATAACTCTCAGGTCAGCTGGCAAGTGGACATTGCCTCTGTGCTGTTGCTGTCACAAAAGCTCAATGGTGAATGAAACAGTTGAGATAAGATATAAGGCCTGCAGAAAGATAATCATTAACAAGGGTTGAGTATTGCGTTAGACATGAACTTTTTTTTGGTCAAAGTTTTTTTTTTTCTTTTTCAGTCTCTAATACAAGACAAAAAATCTCTAAAAACAGTAATCATTTTTTAGAATGCTAATGTCTGTTTTTATTCTGTGGACTTTGAACTTTATGAAGCTCATGGCGCATTTAATTGCTTCTCAGAAGTCAAAATGTTTGAATTCCAAGTCACTGACATTAATGGACTCCGAAGATGAAATTATATAAATTCTGAGAAAAAATTAGTTTTCTTTAAAAAAATCAACCTCAAAATTCAATGAAATAATTGACTGTCAATAAGTCTTTATTAAAGGCAGGAAATTTGATACGACTAAGAGATGAAAATGATAGATTATCTGTGAATAACACAAGTAATGAAAACAGTCTTGGAACTATTATGAATTGTTAAAAAGTATCAGGCTTATACTGTAACTTCAATAAATGTACTTTATTCAAGTTTAATAATTTTCCCTACATTTGTTCTGCCATGTAAAACAAAACAACAATATTTGTTCTATTCATACAGCATTTGTTCTATTTGTAGAGATAAAAAAAAACTTTATGGAACTAAAGCAAACTAAACAATAAATGCAGTAATCACAAAAAAAGAGAAAAAAAAAACTGAATTTCAAGGCGATAGAAAAGCGCATGTTACCACGGTAACACGTCTCGCGCACAATGACGACCTCATCATCTCTCGTCTCAACAAACAAGATGGCGCCTAGTATTCAAAGAAACGATGCGAATTAAACCGTCACTGTTTTGCCCTTAGCTGCTGTTTTGGTCAGTGACTGTTAGAAAATGAAGTCGGACGTGGAGGAGTTAATGCCGAGGCTGTTGCCGGTGGATTGTGGAGAAGGAACCGAGGACGTGGACCTCAGTGGACCACCAAGGAACCCCCAAGAATATCTGCGACAAGTGCAGTAGGTTTAGCTCCGAACCGTTCACATTTAACCCAGTCTACCCTGGCCTTTGTTTACACTTCAGGCCTCTCCCCGCAAACTCAACGCACCTGCTGCTCTCCTTGTTTCACGTGTTTATTCCCCTGTTTTTAAGGCTGGAGGCATCACTATGTCCTGATGTGGTGGTTGCTCAAATCGACCCAAAGAAACTGAAAAAGACGCAAACAGTCAATGCTTCTGTGAGTCCACAGTACTGCTCAGATTTATGCAAGTTAATTATGTTAATAATACATTCTAAGTAGGAAGCATTACCTGTAGCAAAGAAAAGTATGAAGACAAATGTGATTCATCTCTCTTTGCACTGTATTCCACAAGTTTTACCTTACCTTACTTCATATTGATGCACTCCTTTTTTTTGTCTATCAAACAAAATTCCAATGTTAAAGACTATGCTTTTAAACACGATGAAAGATGGAAAAGTTCAAAGGGTAGGAGCACTTCTCTAAAGTATTTTAAGACCTGAAGTAACAGAAGGAACTTGTGTGGTGTGTTGTAGGTAGCAGGGTGCCTTGCTGCTCCTGTAGGCTTCTGCCCCAGCCTCAGTTGGCAGCAACACCAAGTCAGTAACTTTTCAGACGTCAGGCAGGTATGCAGAAACTCTTCATTGCATACCGTTAATAATTCCTAATCATAAATAGCTATCAATACATTTAAATCAGTTATCGTCAAAGATGGAAGTTCACACATAATTCTTCTGTGTTTCACACTGTGTGTTCAGAGCATCTCTAAGAACAGGACACACTGGAATAATCACACTCTAGATGACAATGTACAGATGGTAAGATGTCTTACAACACCTGTAGGCTAAGACATCATCATGTGTTTGAGTTGTTGATCAGCCAGCTTTAAAAGCCTTGAAATATTAGTTTTTTTTTCCACAGCCAAAGTTGACAGATGAAGAGGGCTGGAAGAGGTTTTGTTTAGGAGAGACGACTTACCTGGGTTCTTCATCATCCAGACTAACAGAGGCAGACCAAGAGCCAGCACTGGACTACAGCAAGGTTGTAAAACTTCTACATTATCTTTAAGACTCAGAGTGTTTTAGTAAAATTTAGGTTTGGCAAAAAATATTATTTTGGTTCCACAACAGAAAAAATCATAACCTCAAAACATCAGAAAAAATGCTTCGTTTAATGATGAAGCAAAACATAATTACGTGTTTGCATCCAGGTGGGGTTTCCTCCACTGCTAAGCATCGTCAGCAGATTCAATCAGGTAAGTTCAGCGTTCGTCACAGATTCTGACAGTTTAACTCTTATTTAGTTTCATTTCCAGGCTCTGTGTCTCTGCAGTCCACGGTGCTGATGCTGCTGGACATCCTTATCAGCTGGTTTGAAGAGAGAGAATTTGTTCCACAGCTGGTGAGTTTGGCTGTTTACTCCAACGTTCCTAAGCAGGAAAATAGGGGGCATGTGACATTACACTGCGATATCCAGTTCTGACCAGGCTGACTGGCTAATTTCTTTTCAAAATTATCAAGAATTACAGCCCACCGTCTGCTTCCTAACTCTTAAACAGGGTCGTTGGTTGTACGCTCTTCTGGCCTGCTTGGAGAAGCCGCTGCTGCCTGAAGCCCACTCCTCCATCCGGCAGCTGGCCAGGAGATGTGCCCAGCTCCGTAGCACAATGGTAGGCCTCCTAGCTAGTCAGAGCCTTATTTATCTGTTTTTCTTTTTCCTAATGTGTGTAATTTTGTTGAAATCTTCAACCTCCTCATTGCTTGCTTTAACAGAATAGTCAGGAGGATGAGAACTTGCCTGCTCTCAACCTGCTCATCTGTCTTGTTGCAAGGTGACTTCAAAAAATACCTACTGCAATGAAATGTTTGTGATTTCAAACAGTTTTGCAATGACAAATGGAATCAATTTCATTGTAAAATGAGCTCTTTTCTTTCCATCTGCAGATATTTTGAACAGGTTGATCTTGCAGACCAGCCGGAGTGAACGGGAAGCTGAACTGTAAACTGATATCGGCAGATTGGGACATATTTTGTTCTCAAGGCCGCACATGGAAATGGATGAGCATTTTCACACGACATCCCACCAGAGCATCGACAGGAAAGCCAAGAGCAACCCCAAAAGGGCTCGACTGATTTTTTAATTCAGTCCATTTACACGACCAGATTCTTGCAACTGAAGAGGTCATCCAGTGAAAGATTATGTAAAATATTTTTTTGTGTGCATCAAATAAATGTTTCATAGGAAAATGTCTTGTGTGAACATTATCAGCCAGGATCATTTACAAATTACAAGGTCTGGGAAGCACAGAATCATCTTCAATGCTGCCGCTCTGGTAGGTTCACACCAAGGAAACTCCACTTAGGAGAAAACAGCTTCAAAGCACGACGACACTAAATACAAACGTACACCACACTTTCTGGACTTTTATTTGTAAAAACTCTTGAAACCAATTATCAAATTAACTCCTCTTCAAAAATACACACTGCTTTAAATTTTAGGTTGTATAGTAACAAACTGTGAAAATGTTCAGGGGACAAGAGCGTCAAATTGAATTTTAATCAGGCTGAAACAACAAAAGTAATGTAGAAACACACCCAGAATAAAAAAAAAACCAACATATCCCTGCTTTCACCTCAGCTTTATTTTAAGCAGATCTTGTAGTAGAAAAACAAAAACAAAACAAAAAAGTTTAGGAATCAAAGTAGTTGGATAAATCACATTTGACGTCAAACAGTGAATATCAGTGGGAATTAACAGCCTGGTCTAAATTACCTTTATAGAACAAACTGGATCTTACTGGTTGTTTCTACCCAGCCTTGGTTTTATCCACATGAAGACATTCAGCTCATTTCAGCCCCACAGAGCCCATCTTAATGCTAGAATATCAGACTAGAATTAAAAGGACGCAGAAGGAACAATTTCTCTTTGAATCGTTCCCAGACTTGCAGTGACGACAGCACTCGACAGGAGGGAAAGGAGGAACAGAAATAAGCAGTTTTCCACAAATTTTAAACTGGCTACTGACAAATAATCTGGACTGTAAGAAATCCACCTATTTTTAAAACATTTCTGTCAAGAAAAGAAACTAGTGATTTTAAAAGGACAAATATGTTTAAAAACCGCTATCACGTCAAAGAAAACAGCTGAAGATTTATTCACCGCTCTGGTTATACAGAAGATCACATCAGCGTCTCTTGTCCTTCCTGTCTCCTCTATCTTTATGCTCCCTATCGCTCCGGGACGGCCTGCCCTTCTTTTCCTCGCTCCTTCTCTTCCTCCTCTCCGCCGAGTCTCTCCCTCCTGACTCCTGTCGACTTCTCTCCTCCTTCTTCTTGTCTCTGCCTCTGTCGGACGGCCTCCTCTTTCGCTTGCCGCCGTCTCGGCTGCGGCTGCTGGACGTTGAGGACGATGAGGACGAAGACGATGACGAGGATCGGCTGGATCCGGAGGATGAGGAGGAACTACCACTGGAGGGGGATCCGGATGGGGAAGAGGAGGAGCTGTTGCTACGACTGCGACGTTTCTTCGCGTCTTTCTCCTTCTTTCTCCCTCTGCCTTGTTCCTCCCCTTCCTCCTTTGCAGGGGCATCAACCTCCTTAGAATCAGGCAGCTTTTGTGGGCCCTCCTCCTCGTCCTCCTGTGATTTTCTCTCCTCTGTCTGGTTTTCCACTGTGGAGTCCTGGACACTGGACTCTGGAGCCATTCTGTCCTGTGCGGGACTGGTTGGATCCTGAGTGGGGGCAGCGGAGGCCGTTTGGGGTTCTTGGCTTGGAGAAGCGGTCTCCGTCCCGGGTGACTGTGCTGCTGGTTCTCCAGCAGCGAGGCTCTGTGGGGGCTCGTCGCTGGAGTCTGGGACCTTTACGCTGCTTACAGCTGCTTCACAGCTCTGAACATCTGGAGTCTTTTCTTCTTGGGTTTCTGTGGACTCCTGCTTCCTGTCTGTTTCTACCTCGTCCTCCTTACCCTTGTCTTCCTTCTCTACCTCCATCTCC